TTCATCGCCGAGATGCTGCCTAATTTTGCTGAAACTATATTTGAAATTTTATAGAACTATTTTATTGTTATTATTGATAAATTTTGGTAACGATTTTAGGAAAATGCTGTATTACATCAAAGTATAGGGTTACCATGAGACATTTATAAGAACGAAGCGTAAAAAATTTAGAAAAAAACGATTTTAAAAATCAGCGAAAGTTTGGCGTAATTAAACATGATAATATGTGAAAAATGGCTTTTTTAATCTTATTTGATTTTCAATTTCCTGGTATTTACATAAAATTACAGAAGTAAAAAACTCGTGGACGAGTCTGAAAGCCACTTAAAGGACATTCTCAAAGTGCTGGAAAACGACAGGCGTTATTTAGTTCTCTCAAGTCTCGCCGACGAACGGACCGAAATTCTAACGGCATATATTGATGAGCTGGATAGAAAGGGCGTTCCGCCACCGCCAACTGCATCCGATCCACAGCGTAGGAACAAATAGGCTGACCACTCAAGATGAAGTTGAGGCAAACTGATGAGAGAAAAAGGGAGATGTTTTGAACGAGAGACGTGCACACGTCTTCGTACACTTCGTATAATATACATTGCGTCTATAGGGTGCACCTGCGCAAGCAAGACTACCGTCAATTTCAGAGATCCGAGAGGACGACCATGAGAGGACGCCGCATTGCTGCTGACAAACTACTTCAACAGCACCGCTTTCGTTTTAACTTCGAACGGACGTAAGCAAGGTCTCTCGTGTTTACACTTTGCCGGCGCACCTGAATACATGACCGTTCGGAGATGGCAGCCTTTGAAGACAGCCTGTTCGAGTTGAGCGCGACGTTGATAGCTACTACGTACTGGCGATTACTTCCAGTTGTGTGCGCGGACGAAATTGTGTTTGTGCCTGTGCGACAGATTGGTTAGATAAGGTTTATGTAAGTTTTGCTTTGGAGTTGTATTGAAGACTCTAACAATAGTCTTATGAATTTGTAGGTATTTTTTGCAGCTTTTTGGTGAATTGGCGGGCAATGTATTCGGGAAATCTCTTCCTATATAGAAGAGGAGAAAGAGAGAAAACGAGACATCAATAATTATTGAAGCGAGGGGTAGTATTATTAACCATCCATCTAATCAATGTTGTGGGTTTCATTATAAGTCTTTCTTGATAGTTCTTAAGAATGCTTTCTTTAGCTATTTGTATATACCACCATGAGGGTGCAGCACGTTCACTGCATTATATATACAAATCATATTCATACATAGGCGGGGACACACACTTACGCCCAAATGCAACAGACAAATAATCTGAAAGATGGCTAGAGATAAGGATGGTAACCAAAATTCAGTTTTGTTTATTATACACATGTACGTTAGATAATTAAATGATTAGTATTATAATTATAATATTGCTATATTAATAACTACTGTGTTTATTTTATTGTCCATAAAAATCAATTATATCTCGTTAATAATCGAGACCACATAGCTACGATACGAAGCAACATAATAAACCATGAATAGAAGAGTTCCTTTCTTCGTGTCGAGTGAATAGACCGTCAGCTGCTTCTGTTTTTGCCTGAATTGAATGCACGCCAATATCTACCACCACAGTAAGAACAAAAGCACCTATAAATCACTGGATATGCGAGACATCTATTTAACTATAGGGTGAGATACGCGTGAGGTGAGGTGAGGTGCATACATGAAAAATATATTCAGCAGAGAATATCTAGAAAGGTAAATGATAGCGCTCAAGAAAAACAAATTTCGTTATGTATAACAAACCCCAACTGACTCCATAATTGCGACGGGGTATGGTTTTTCTTCTTCAATTAGGCGCTATCTTGAATTTATATTATACGAAACACCTGAAAAAAACAACATTAATACAAACTCTCTCAATGACAGCTATGACAAAGCCTCATACCAACAGCCGGAGCCTCAGCCAGAACGCCGGCTTCAAAATGGAAGAGTGAAGAGCGTAGAAGCAACAACATCAACAGCCTCCCACCCAGGACGGTAAGTTAATAGTAGAAACGAGATATGGAGGAAACACACATTACTGATGTGATTAAACAGATAATGCGGGTTTACGAGGTTAACGAATTAGTTTGACGCTAACATTATGTTAATATGTTCTAGATTATTGAAATATGTATATTGAAAAATAAGGCCTGAGCCAGTTAGCGTCTGTATTCACTGGAAGGCTATAATAGTTGACGAATTTGAGGTAGAGTGAAGCAATTATTAACAAGTAGCATTTAAAAGTCAGTAGCAACAACGATTAACCAAATAAACCCTCAAAGGAATGTTGAGTACTCGCAAATCAGTGTCTTTATTTTTTATTATCTATACGTGCTCTCGCTTTCCCTTAGTTATTCAAAGCGTTCTCGACAGGCTATTTCTCTTGTAATTTGAAATCTGCATAAGAGCTGCGTAGATACGGCTTAATTATAGCGAAGTTTTCATGCAGAGTCTAAAAATATTGTCAAATTATTCCCTTAAAAATCTAATCGATAATTTAAGTCACAACAAATTTAGAGTGCCCGGGATTCTTTCGAGTACAAAGTGTCACGCGTTCATCTAGTATGACAAAGAAAATGAGAAGTATCTGCCTAGTCATTTTTTGTGTCAGGTTGCTGGTACTACGTTCCGATTTTGATTTATATGGCTCGTTCTTATTGAATCGGCTCGCAATACTTAGCAGCTCAACAGCTTAGCAGGGGTATAGGCAATAATAGACTACAGCATATTCCTGTTCCAAGATGAAGTGGACAACAAATACATTTCAAATATGCAAAAAAAAAGGAATCAAGCTGTTGGTCGTAGACAGGACTTTATTATACCATTGTATATATGACAAAAATCTTGAAAATGAGAAAAATAAGCTAACGAGAAAAATTATAAGTGTAGTAAAATCTTTCTGAGCCAACAGCTGAAAGTCGTTAAAAATTACCATAAATTAGGTCATCAACATATTATTAGACAAGCCGTCAGCCCGTCGTACAGATCAAAGTAACTTTGTCAATGTTTAGCAT